GTAGATTTTTATATATTTATACCTCCTTGTGTCATTTTTAATCTCTTTCCCTTTTCTGTTTCTTTGTGGGGGTTTTGTCTCTTTGTAGTTTTGCATCTCTTTGTAGCAGATTTGTGGTTTGTGTCTCTGTGGTTTTGTGTTTCTCCGCTGCAGTTTTTAATCTCTTTTGTGTCTCTTTGTGATTATTTTGTTTCTCCTTTGGGCAGTTTTTCATGTCTTTGTGGTTGTTTTGTGTCTTTGCAGTTGTTTTGTGACTCATTGTAGTTGTTTTGTGTATCTTTGTGGCAGTTTTACGTCTCTGTGGCTGTTTGTTGGTATTTGTTTTGCGTCTCTTTGTGGCAGTTTTGTGTTTCATTGCTGCAGTTTTTCACCTCTTTTGTGTCTCTGTGTGGTTGTTGTTACCTGTTATTTGTGTCTCTTTGTGGTTGTCTTGTCACCTCTTGCAGTTGTTTTGTGTGTCTTTGTGGCAGTTTTACGTCTGAGGTTGATTTTTATCTTTGTCTTTATTTGTATCTGATTACTTTCTGTCTCTTTGTAGTTGTTTTGCATCTCTTTGTGGCAGTTTTGTGTTTCTTTTCTGTCCCTTTGTGGTTGTTTTGTCTCCCTTGGTGGGTGTTTTGTTTCTTTGTGGTGGCTTTGTGTCTGTTTGTAGCAGCTTTGTGTTTCTTTGTGGTCATCTTTGAAGCGGTCTAGCTACCTGCTGNAGCTAAAACGAGCCGTGAACAGCAGAACCTTCTCGGTTTTGGACCCATCGATTGTGTCTGTCTGCATCATCACGGCTCAACGTGGAAAAGAACTGCCAGAGAAACTACAAAATACGAGATGTGTCGGAAAAGTTTCAGGACTGGTGTCACAGAAGATATATTTCTAACCCAAACTACAAACTACCAGTTTTCCCCTCTGAAGTAATCCCCCTGGAGTCTAACACACTTCCCCAGATCTTCCCTTCACGCCGCCATGAACTCCTGGAAGGATTCTTCCAGGATCCTCCTCAGCTCCGTCCTCACAGCCATCTTGATGTCGTCCATGTCTTCTGAACAGGTCCCCTGGACAAGTATATTGCCAGACATGAATTAAATACAGCGTCTGGTGTGTTTTAAAAAGAAAGGAAAGAACACAACTCAGAAAATATTCCTAGTATGAAGGTAAAATTTTTAATAATATACTGAATTCAGATTAGATTTGATTAGATTGCACCTTATTTTTCACCACCAATGGGGAAACTCACATTGTTGCTGCACATATTGCACATAAAAGATCATCTGATTCTGAGGAGGTCAGCTGGGAAGCAGTGATTGATTTTCTTTTAGGTGTTTTATTAGCATTTCCATCAAAACGTCGACTTTTCCAGCAGTTGATTTTATTTTTATTTTTTTCTTTTGCTAAATGGAGTTTCTTTATGGAATAGGGTGAGTAGCAAATTACAGAAATAAATCAATAAAAGAATAATAAAATAAAAGTGGAAATAAAAAGAATACATAAAATAAAAAATAAATAATGTGGCAATATGAAGCAATATTAATCAAAAATGAATCCATAAAAGAAAAGGCTGATAAAAGTAGAAATATAAAGACAAATAAATAAAATAATAATAATGATTTATTTTTCATTTATTTTTATTTTTGTTTATTTTTTTAACATTTGAATTTTTTTATTTATCTTTTATTATTTAAAAAAAAAAATTATTTATTTTTTAAAATTTTTATTTATTTATTTATTTTTATAATATGGAGTATTGAGAGCTTCTAGTTACTTTACTGTGTTTATTTACAAGTTCATAAAATATTGCCAATAATTCCTTTCTTAAACCTTTGTTTTAGCTCACGGGTTTTCTTTTGTCCTTGTCTCACTTTATTTCTTTATTTTTTCTCTCCTGTATCATGTTATTTGATCTGAATTCTCTGCTTGTGGACCTATGAGTATAAAACATATATTTTAATTCATTATATTGCAGTAGTACTTGAATGTAAAGGCCTTAACTTGCAGCTGTGATCTTGTGTTTGTGGTCATGCAGGCGGGAAGACGATCCGTCAGTGCATCAGGTACACGGACTGCGACAACTCCCGCCTCACCCAGATGTTTCCCGCCATCACCGGCTTCACCTACAGATGCTGCAGCAGCAACCTCTGCAACTCCGGCATCACCGTCACCACGGCGACGCCCTCCCTGGCGCTGGCGGCAGCGCTGCTGAGCGTCTTCTGGAGCTGGATGTGAAGCCGCTCGGCTTTTCTAGATCTTTACTGACGTCATTTAACACGAGCTAAACTGTTTTCAGTTCAGTTTCTCAGGTTGAAGTAAAATTTCTTTTCCTACTTTGCTTGTTTGCTAATTTTACAGTTTAATAATAAACACAACAACAAACAAACATCTGTCCTGTGGTTTTGTGGATAGCGGACGACGTGGCAGCAAAGCTCGACACAAAATACAGAAAAGCTCATTTATTAAACGTCATAAATGTCACCTGATAAACTAAAGAC